AAATAGCATGTTTTACATTATACAAGATTTTTATATTACATTACATTTAGCGTTAAAGAAAGAAATAAGCACAAAAAAACTTGTTATTTTAAAAATGTAATATTTAAAAACAAAAAATTGAGCTATATAATACAATTTACCTGGGAGAATTTATAATTGAAATAATTTAGCGAATTGAATAAATATGTTTGTTATATATAAGCAACTGTTTTAACTTTTAGATAAAATATCTCAACCTTGGTTCAGGAGAAACTGTAAAGGCATTAGTGCCATCAGTAATGAAATTACTTATGAAGAAGACTGTTTCCATGCATTTCAGTGGTTCCGGAAAACAAAAAAAAGTGATTTTTCTGCAACTAAGGTTGCTGCTGCAGTATTTGGTAAGTTATATTTTGTTAGTAAAAATATTTTTAAAAATATCTAAAATAACTAATAACATTTAAGAAGTTTGTCAAATGTTATAAAAAAGGCAATACAATATATATATATATATATATACACACTTCTTTAATTTTTGTTTAAATATATAATTATACATATATCAAACTGTTTTAAATATTTTAAATATTTGTTTTAAATATATTACTTGCATTGATATTGTAAAATTAAATTTTAGAATATTTCTTTTATTTTTAATATTTAGTATTAAAGCATAACTTTAGTATAATTTCATAAATTATAATAAATTTAATAACGATTTAAAAACTAAACTTGGACTAATAAAATTATACATATTGTTTATTACTAATTTAAAATAATAAGCTCGTTTATAAATTTTTTTGTTTCTAGAGGTTGTGTCGAAAAAAATATCAAATGTATCCAGAAATGAAATTTTGCAAAAAATATCAAAATTCCTTGCAGAAAGTGGAGACAGAGAAGGAGGAAGAAAAGAAAGATTTTCGAAATCAACAAATTAGGTTTTTTCTTTCATAATTACCAAAAATTACTAAAAATTACCAGAGTACATTAAGTATAAAAGAAATTTATTTTGTTTAAATTTATTCATATGCAATTTTATTTTTATGCTATTATATATATATAATAATATAAAGTTATTTTTAAAGAAAATATATATCGAATATACATATATAATATATATTGTATGTTATTCGATAAAAGAGTAAAAGTAAAAGTAAGAAATATTTGATTATTAATTTTGTCTTATTAAAACTTTATTCGTTCATTTTATACTCATGTGCAATTATGGTATATGCAATTTTATTTTTATTTTAATATAAAATATTAGCATTTATTCTTATAAATATTACATATTATAAGTCTAGTATTATATATTATTTTATGTAAAAATATATTTATAAGAAATGGAACAAGTATAAAAAATAAAACAAGTTTTGAAAATGATAAAGTTGAAAAGTTTATGAACAATAAACTTCTTATACATATAACATATACATGATTATTTTTTACTATCTATATAAGTTATTTAAATTTTAGTAAGACTACATTTATTTTTGATCAATAATATAAGCTAGACAACTTTCTTTTTTTTAGTCAATATTAAATTATATAATTATCCTAATGCATTAACTTTTCTTCTTCAATCAATCAATATATGTACATATACATATACATATACATTAATTCATCCCACTTCCCTAGCGAGTTGCTATAGAAATATATATATATATATATATATATATATGTTACATATATATGTGTAACATATATATATATTCTATAGCAACTCGCTAGGGAAGTGGGATGAATTAATATGTATATGTATATGTATATGTACATATATATATTGATTGATTGAAGAAGAAAAATTAATGCATTGGGCTAATAATACAATTTAATATTAGCTAAAAAAAGAAAGTTGTCTATTTTACAATATTGGAAATTTATTTGTAGCCAATGTAAAAAATATATAAAGAATCTTGGTTAAAGATGAAATAAATATATTGGTCCAATATTAAAATTAATATTGGTTTAATATTAAAAATTAATATTGGTTTAAAGTGACAGAGCGTCTACTTTACAATATTGGACCAATATGGAAAATTATACTATGGCCAATATTAAAACTTGGGTATATTGTTAACCAATATTGTGCCAATGAATTGTGCTACTCAGGGCTGCTGACATACTTATTTGGCGTTATTATCGACTTTAGTACTGTTCGTTATGTCAAGGCATGATGACATAAACATAACTCGATATAATTTGATTATTTTGACATAAGTTAAATCTCTCCGAATCATAATTTATTCTCACATCTAAAAGACGAAATGCTGTAACTCCGAGTAAGTCTTTAAATTGTAATTCATGTCTTTGTTCAATTAGCGTGGCTGATGTAACAATATCGGTTTTTTTAGGATATCACAATTGTATTTTTGATAAGGACCACAACCCGTATGGTCAAAACGTTAAAATAAACATATATTAACAACTCTAAATTGAAGCCAGTGTTGTCAGTTCAAATTTATAACCATATAATTAATAAATTTCTTTACATCTTAAAAAATGCACGCATTATTTTGTTAAAAAGATAAAATTACTTACCAGAGAGCTCTACAAATAAATAATTATAAATTTCTTTAATCATAACTACAAACGTCAATAACTATGCTCACTTCTGATACTTATTAAAGTTAGATTGATTTTGTCATTTCTATAGTCACTTTGTTGATTTTATAAATATTTCGTAGTGTACTTTGTACATGAACATTAATATTAATTTATTGTTATTTTGCATTTGAATATCATTATAATGTTAATGACATTCCAATCATGTTTCCTGTTGTAGTGAATTTATACTGTTTATAAAAATTAAGTTCTCTTAATTTTTCTTTAAAAATAAGCAAAATTTAAACAACTTTGATAAAAATGAACAAAATTTAAATCCAAAGAAAGAGTTTCAAAGCTTGCAATCTTTATAAAATGTTACTTTTTTTAGTTTCTGTGAATTTATTAATTTTTTAAACCATGAATTATATATATATATATATATATATATATATATAATATGTTGTGTGCCTCGGGTGAGACACAAGGGGTCGCGCCAAATTAGGATAAAGATCCGGGGCGTCAGGACTTATTTCGGGTTGATGAAATAAATGCACTTCACTTTTATTATTAAAATTTTTATTCAAGTAAACCGCTTGACTTTTATTTGTTTCACCACTGTTACACTTGTGCGTATATTGGTTTAACGGCACTGTTTAACTATAACTTCGCGTATCGCGCGCGACTGCGAGAAGATGTTAAGATCGCACGCGGCTAGCGAGATCGTTTTAACGAACGACGCGAAAGCGTCTTGAGAGCGACTTTCGACTGAGCGGCGCGTCTCCTGCTTCGTTTTTATAGTATCACTTTTGGGATTTTCTCGATCGGAAGGGGTGTCTGGCAACAGGCCCCCTCGGTCAAGGACCTAAGTGCAAGCGACGCAGATTCAAAGTCCTTCTGCTTTGCTTGCGCGTTGAGCTATTTCGGTTCCGCGTATATCTCGCATCATATGCGTTTTTACGCGGTCAGTGTCCGTCGTCAAGCGGATGTAATAAAAATTATTTTTAATAGTTATAACTTTAAACTCTAAACATTTCAAACTTAAAAATTCTACGACAATTTTTAAGCAAGTGAGAAAAGTTGTTCCTGTAAAACTAAAATTTTTTATTTTGCATTATCGCGAATCAAGTAAAAAATGAGTATTTATTTAATTGTTCATAATTATTCGTAATTCAAAAATAACGATAAAATTAATGAAGTCGCCAGTGATGAGTAAACCTTTACTCATCACTGGCGACTTCATTAATTTTATCGTTATTTTTGAATTACGATAATTTTTAACGAAATTATGAACAATTAAAGTCAAAATACTCATTTTTTACTTGATTCGCGATAATGCAATAATAAAAAATTTTAGAAACATTAAAAAAATGGTTTTACAGGAACAACTTTAAACTCTCACATTGCAAAGTTAAAAATTGTCGTAGATTTTTTGAGAAAGTGAGAAGTCCACAAGACAAAAATTGTTTATTTTTGTTATATCCCTAAGAGATATAACTATTAAGAAATAATTATTCGTATTACATCCGCTTGACGACGGACACTGACCGCGTAAAAACGCATATGATGCGAGATATACGCGGAACCGAAATAGCTCAACGCGCAAGCAAAGCAGAAGGACTTTGAATCTGCGTCGCTTGCACTTAGGTCCTTGACCGAGGGGGCCTGTTGCCAGACACCCCTTCCGATCGAGAAAATCCCAAAAAGTGATACTATAAAAACGAAGCAGGAGACGCGCCGCTCAGTCGAAAGTCGCTCTCAAGACGCTTTCGCGTCGTTCGTTAAAACGATCTCGCTAGCCGCGTGCGATCTTAACATCTTCTCGCAGTCGCGCGCGATACGCGAAGTTATAGTTAAACAGTGCCGTTAAACCAATATACGCACAAGTGTAACAGTGGTGAAACAAATAAAAGTCAAGCGGTTTACTTGAATAAAAATTTTAATAATAAAAGTGAAGTGCATTTATTTCATCAACCCGAAATAAGTCCTGACGCCCCGGATCTTTATCCTAATTTGGCGCGACCCCTTGTGTCTCACCCGAGGCACACAACATTTTATATATATATATATATATATATATATATATATCATGGTTTTAAAAAATTAATAAATTCACAGAAACTAAAAAAAGTAACATTTTATAAAGATTGCAAGCTTTGAAACTCTTTCTTTGGATTTAAATTTTGTTCATTTTTATCAAAGTTGTTTAAATTTTGCTTATTTTTAAAGAAAAATTAAGAGAACTTAATTTTTATAAACAGTATAAATTCACTACAACAGGAAACATGATTGGAATGTCATTAACATTATAATGATATTCAAATGCAAAATAACAATAAATTAATATTAATGTTCATGTACAAAGTACACTACGAAATATTTATAAAATCAACAAAGTGACTATAGAAATGACAAAATCAATCTAACTTTAATAAGTATCAGAAGTGAGCATAGTTATTGACGTTTGTAGTTATGATTAAAGAAATTTATAATTATTTATTTGTAGAGCTCTCTGGTAAGTAATTTTATCTTTTTAACAAAATAATGCGTGCATTTTTTAAGATGTAAAGAAATTTATTAATTATATGGTTATAAATTTGAACTGACAACACTGGCTTCAATTTAGAGTTGTTAATATATGTTTATTTTAACGTTTTGACCATACGGGTTGTGGTCCTTATCAAAAATACAATTGTGATATCCTAAAAAAACCGATATTGTTACATCAGCCACGCTAATTGAACAAAGACATGAATTACAATTTAAAGACTTACTCGGAGTTACAGCATTTCGTCTTTTAGATGTGAGAATAAATTATGATTCGGAGAGATTTAACTTATGTCAAAATAATCAAATTATATCGAGTTATGTTTATGTCATCATGCCTTGACATAACGAACAGTACTAAAGTCGATAATAACGCCAAATAAGTATGTCAGCAGCCCTGAGTAGCACAATTCATTGGCACAATATTGGTTAACAATATACCCAAGTTTTAATATTGGCCATAGTATAATTTTCCATATTGGTCCAATATTGTAAAGTAGACGCTCTGTCACTTTAAACCAATATTAATTTTTAATATTAAACCAATATTAATTTTAATATTGGACCAATATATTTATTTCATCTTTAACCAAGATTCTTTATATATTTTTTACATTGGCTACAAATAAATTTCCAATATTGTAAAATAGACAACTTTCTTTTTTTAGCTAATATTAAATTGTATTATTAGCCCAATGCATTAATTTTTCTTCTTCAATCAATCAATATATATATGTACATATACATATACATATACATATTAATTCATCCCACTTCCCTAGCGAGTTGCTATAGAATATATATATATGTTACACATATATATGTAACATATATATATATATAAAGAAAATGTATTTCTTTAATTTCGGTCTTACCGCGCTTTAGGAGCGTCGGTAAGACGGATTATCGGGGCCCAACTGAGCATATAAAGAGAGGTTAGGGAATTCTTTCTCAAAAGGCTTTGTCACGACAGATTGAAATTGCAGATTGATATTAGAAGTGATTGATAGATAATAGAGAGTGATAAAGAGGGAAGTGACCATTGAAGTAGAAACCTTAATTGTCGTTTCTCTATTTACAGGTAAGGGGGAAGAACGAATCATAGTATAATTAAGTTGTAAATATAATATAAGCTATAGAATAACTCTATTTACAGAGCAACACGTGGTTGACTTGGTGGTTATTCTCCCTAAAGATACAAACCATTATATATATATATATATATATATATATATTTCTATAGCAACTCGCTAGGGAAGTGGGATGAATTAATGTATATGTATATGTATATGTACATATATTGATTGATTGAAGAAGAAAAGTTAATGCATTAGGATAATTATATAATTTAATATTGACTAAAAAAAAGAAAGTTGTCTAGCTTATATTATTGATCAAAAATAAATGTAGTCTTACTAAAATTTAAATAACTTATATAGATAGTAAAAAATAATCATGTATATGTTATATGTATAAGAAGTTTATTGTTCATAAACTTTTCAACTTTATCATTTTCAAAACTTGTTTTATTTTTATACTTGTTCCATTTCTTATAAATATATTTTTACATAAAATAATATATAATACTAGACTTATAATATGTAATATTTATAAGAATAAATGCTAATATTTTATATTAAAATAAAAATAAAATTGCATATACCATAATTGCACATGAGTATAAAATGAACGAATAAAGTTTTAATAAGACAAAATTAATAATCAAATATTTCTTACTTTTACTTTTACTCTTTTATCGAATAACATACAATATATATTATATATGTATATTCGATATATATTTTCTTTAAAAATAACTTTATATTATTATATATATATATATAATAGCATAAAAATAAAATTGCATATGAATAAATTTAAACAAAATAAATTTCTTTTATACTTAATGTACTCTGGTAATTTTTAGTAATTTTTGGTAATTATGAAAGAAAAAACCTAATTTGTTGATTTCGAAAATCTTTCTTTTCTTCCTCCTTCTCTGTCTCCACTTTCTGCAAGGAATTTTGATATTTTTTGCAAAATTTCATTTCTGGATACATTTGATATTTTTTTCGACACAACCTCTAGAAACAAAAAAATTTATAAACGAGCTTATTATTTTAAATTAGTAATAAACAATATGTATAATTTTATTAGTCCAAGTTTAGTTTTTAAATCGTTATTAAATTTATTATAATTTATGAAATTATACTAAAGTTATGCTTTAATACTAAATATTAAAAATAAAAGAAATATTCTAAAATTTAATTTTACAATATCAATGCAAGTAATATATTTAAAACAAATATTTAAAATATTTAAAACAGTTTGATATATGTATAATTATATATTTAAACAAAAATTAAAGAAGTGTGTATAATATATATATATATATATATATATATATATTGTATTGCCTTTTTTATAACATTTGACAAACTTCTTAAATGTTATTAGTTATTTTAGATATTTTTAAAAATATTTTTACTAACAAAATATAACTTACCAAATACTGCAGCAGCAACCTTAGTTGCAGAAAAATCACTTTTTTTTGTTTTCCGGAACCACTGAAATGCATGGAAACAGTCTTCTTCAAAGTAATTTCATTACTGATGGCACTAATGCCTTTACAGTTTCTCCTGAACCAAGGTTGAGATATTTTATCTAAAAGTTAAAACAGTTGCTTATATATAACAAACATATTTATTCAATTCGCTAAATTATTTCAATTATAAATTCTCCCAGGTAAATTGTATTATATAGCTCAATTTTTTGTTTTTAAATATTACATTTTTAAAATAACAAGTTTTTTTGTGCTTATTTCTTTCTTTAACGCTAAATGTAATGTAATATAAAAATCTTGTATAATGTAAAACATGCTATTTTCCAAAAACATTGTGAAATTAATGAAAAAGATATTTTTTATTTTTTATATTCTTACCAAAGATATAAAGTTTTCTTCAGAATTTTTCAAACCTTGATCAATTTCATCAAAGGACTCCATGGAACAAATCGGAAGAAGGTGACTAAATGTGTTTATGACACTATTATCATTGTGTGTCAATAGAGTATCTAATTTTACTTTTATTTCTTGTTGTCCCTTTTTCAATGCAACTGTTTTAAATCTAACTTCTTCCATTAATTTAAAAATTTTTGTTAAAATGCCTGAAAATCGATTAAAAATTATATAAAAGTTATATTTGTATTAATAAAATTAACTAAATTATAAGTACCATTTTTTCTTAAATTAAAATATGGCAGTAATAGAATTTTACCTTCTTTAATTTGTTGAATGTTTTTTGATTTTTCTACTTCGCTTCTTTGGATGGTTGTATTACTTGTATTGGATAATACAGGATCAGCTTGAGAATCTCTTTGTAAATTTAACTCATTATCAGGAAAAGATGGAACATTAGGACGTTTATCTGAATTTACTGTACACTGATTTCCTGAAGCTAGATCATCTTCTTCATTGGAAGAACTATTTAGATTTTGATATGAAATCTTCTTTGACTTTTCTGCTTTATCTCTTTGGATGCTTTTATTTTTATTGGATTTAGGACCTTTCTCTGAATTTATTTTATACTGATTTTTTGAAGCTAAAGCATCATCTTCATCAGAAGAATTGCTCTGATGTGAAACGGTTTTTGACTTTTCTGCTTCTTCACCTCTTTTGATTCTTGTCTTTTTATTGGTTGTAGGACTTTCCTCTGAATTTACTTTGTACTGCTTTTCTGAAGAATCATTTTTTTTATCAGACAAATTGTGATGTTTATGTTGGGATTTCTTCTGTCGTGTATTTGTTGTATCAGAAGTAGAGTCATCACTACTACTTAACTGAGACGTATCTTGTGCTCTTTCCGCTTTTTTCATGGCTTCAGTTAAATTATCTATAAAGAGGAATGTATATAGACAAAAAAGTAGACAAAAAATTTGAAAAATCTAATTAATATTTTTTTATCATAATTTTCTATGAAAATTTGCATATTTTTATATATCAACACATTCTTATAATAAAATATTTTATTTTTAAATTATTTCATTTCAATATTATATTAGTTTGATAACTTTTATTCATTTATCTTGTATTATAACATATAAGTATGTATAATAAAACAGCTTAATAGAAAATTGACTATGACAATGAAAATATAAAAAATCAATACCTGCATGTCCTAAAACTCTTATATGTACAGAAGTCCAATCATCATTGGGCTGAGTATTATTTTTCAAATATTTCTTTAGAATGGCAGGAGATATAGTATTGGGCCATAATGTAGTTTTTTTATCAAATGATATCCAAGAAGAAGGAATAATTTCAACGGTATTTTCATCATTAAATTCAACTATGGAATATTTTTGCATCTGCATACAGAGATGTTTACATATATATTTTGATAATTATTTTCTTGCTTTGTTTTTCAGACCAATTGTCTTATTATTATATTCAAGATTCATCAAATGTATCAAATTCTAACAGAAATAATTCTATAAACGTTTTAAAATGTTTGTATATATGTATATATTGTATGTATACACACACACACACACACACACACATATATATATATATATATATATAAATATAATGTGGTGTGTGTGTGTATATATATATATTATATATATATATATACATAATATAAAATTTTATATGAAAAGAGACATAAATATTATCTTAATTAAATTTATACAGTAATTGTGTGTAAAAGAGGATATCCAATATGTGAAATGTTATCTTTAAATACAATGCATTTAGCTTCTATTTCTGATAATTTAATTACTTTAAATGTGTTTCCAATTTTATACATTCTATATTTTTTAACTTTTGAGATTCACAAGGATACTAAAGTAATTGCAATATTTTGTAAATTGCTTACAAATTAAATCGACACTGTGTATTTCTTGTGCATTTTTAGAATAATATTATAAATTTGCACAACTTTTCCATTTTTTAACAACGCCTAACGATCAGCTTTACGATAAGTGACAAAGTATATTTATGAATAATTATCTCTTTATACTGACTTATAGAGTTTTCTGTGTCAGCAATAAGTGGTCCACATTCATTTTATGTTTCAAACTCCCAATTAGAAGTATATTTTTACAGAAATGGAAGCACTTCAGAAAGTCGTCGTGATAACTGTGATAAAGCTTTTTTCCACCCCGAAGACATCTTTTTATTTTCCCAAGTAAATTTTCAAAGTCAAATGCACTTTATCATCTAAAGGCTTCTTAAATTTTCTAACATCATCTGTAAGATGAATCAAATTATGGATATTGTAAATTTTTAGAATTTGGCCCGTAAAACTCATCAAAAGTTCTAACAAATTCTATTAGTAAAGCTTGTGAATAATCACATAATTGAATTGCTAAATTTGGGTGTGAAAGGATAAATGCGGCTGTATGAAGAATCTTAAAATGTTCTATATGCTTATTTGAAATAATTCCGTTTAAACAAAAAATCCAGTGTACAAAAGAAACTGACGTAATTCAGTCGCCTTCCATTTTTAACTTTATTATACTTTGTGGTTTTCTTGCAAAATCTGTTGGAATGTATTTGTGTAATAATGTTAATCTTTCGGATAAGAGAGACTGACTTTTCTTGCAATCTAATTTGCAAAAAATTATTTCCCTGTATCATTTGAAAAGCATTCTTCTCATAACTCCTAAATAGAGTAGATGCATTGGATCCAGTATAAATTAGTAACCATAGAAAAATTAATTTCCGCTAAAGGAGAAATACCATTATGGGTGTTCTATCTGTGTTTGTAGCAAGAAATTCTGATCTGTTCTTTTTTCAGCATCAATTTTATTAAATAATGTGTGCAACCAAATGGATGTGATCCTTTTTGAATACACCTTTCGCAACCATAGAAAGAAACCATTATGTCCTTTAATTACTTTAAGATCGCTCTAAGCAGGTGCATCACAAATAAAGCCTGAAATTGGTAACTGAATATTGTTTTTCATCGATAATTATACCAACATCACAAAGATTTTCATATTCTTGTATAAAATCTTTTAAATATTCGTGTACATCTGGAGGTTTAGATTGCCCACATATACACCAACGATAAAGGATCAGGTTTATTATACACTGATTGATCTATCTTGCAAGTATTGGCAAAATTGAATTGATGAAGAATTAGCTATGGCAATCCATCATATTCACAAATAAATTTATTTCTTTTAGTGATTTTAATAAGGGTTCTTTTAAAAACAAATTTTTTAAATTATTGGCAATGCCAAATAACAATATTTTCCATCAAACATATCAAAAACGGAACTACTTTCTTGGTGTTTTTATAAAGTTCTAGCATCTGAAAATGCAATAAGATTATGTTTTTGTAATGTACGTAAAAGGGAATTTAAAGCTGAGTGAGAGATTTTGTATTCAAGAGCCCACTGGGCAAGATTACTTGTTAGATCAGATTTAATACTTTCTATAGAATTTATTAACACATTAAAATTATTGTGAATAGAAAATTCTGTAATATTATTGTCCTTAGAATTTTCTTCATCAAAATCTTCAAATAAATGATATTCGATAGAAGAACATACGCTGTCAGTTTCATTATTAATATTACAATAGAATTTAATTTTATATTTTTATCTTCATTTGTTAACGAATCATAAGAAAATCATAATTATTAAATTGCTGACAATACTCAGATAAGTCAGAATTAACAGATTCTTTAGAATATCTGAATTGCTCAATACTTCAATACTATTTTGTTTCAATATCCTCTTTTTCATTGTCGTAAGATGCTTTTTAACTCGTTCATTTATTGTTTTCTCATTTAGTACGTCTCTTGAAGACATTGCAATTAAATTCTATGTATGCGTGGT